CTGAAACCATAAAATACATAGAAGGAAATATAGGCGAAACACTACGGGATTTGCACATCAAAGACATCTTTACAGACACATCACCCAAAGCAGTGATAGTGAAGAGAAAGATAAACAGCTGGGACTACATCAAATTAAAGAGCTTCTGCACAGCAAAAGAGACAATAACAAAAACAAAGAGAAACCCCACCAACTGGGAGAACATTTTTGCACCCAACACTAATGATAAAGGACTGATCACAAAAATCTGCAAAGAGCTGATGAGACTCAGCAACAACAAAGAAAATAATCCAGTCAAAAAATGGGCAGAAGAGCTAAAAAGAAACTTCTCTGAAGAGGAAATGCAAATGGCCAACAGACATATGAAAAAATGTTCAACATCACTTGTAATCAGGGAAATGCAAATCAAAACTACCATGAGATACCATCTCACACCAGTGAAAATGGCACATATTAAAAAAACTAGCAACAACAAATGTTGGCGAGGATGTGGAGAAAAAGGAACTCTTCTGCACTGTTGGTGGGAGTGCAAACTGGTCCAACCACTATGGAGAGCTGTGTGGAGATTTCTGGACCTACTAAACATAGAGCTTCCATATGATCCAGCAATTCCACTCCTAGGTATTTACCCAAAGGACACAGAAACATCAATTCCAAAGAGCACCTGCACCCCTATGTTTATAGCAGCACTGTTTACAATAGCTAAGCTTTGGAAACAACCCAAATGCCCAAAAATAGATGACTGGATCAAGAAGATGTGGTACATATATACCATGGAATATTACTCAGCATTCAAAAAAGATAAACACATGCAATTTGCAGCAACATGGATGGCACTGGAAGGGATCATGCTCAGCGAAATAAGCCAAAAAGAAAAAGAAAAATACCGGATGGTCTCACTCATAGCAGGAATCTAGAAAACTTAAATAAGGGACCAGGAAAATGAATATAAGAAAGTGAAAATCAAAATCAACAAAAAACTATGAACCAGAGACACTTTTTGGGGGGTGGGGGGCGGGAGGGGAAGGATTGGGGTCAGAATGGGGCGTTTGCAATTGTATGGGGGAATATTAAAATAAAATTTATTAAAAAAAAAAAAAATAAATCTTAATCCAGTTCAAGTAAAAAAAAAAAAAAAAAAAGACTCAGTAAGAGCAGAGACCATTCACTGATATTACTGTTCTGCACTATGTATTTTTTTTCGCAGAAGTGCTCTTCATTCTTGAAATCAACCTGGGCTGAATCCATGCAAGGCTGTAATTTTGCCAGGCAGGCAGGATGAACAAAAAGACAATCATGTGGAAAAGTTAAAACCATTGGACAACAACTGATGCAACAGCGATGGATGACAGTATGGAAAGCTGAATGGAGGTAAAAAGCAAAATTCTACTTTACACAAGTACTTCTATCTATCCAATTAACAAATTAAGTTGAAACTATTACTTATGGTTTAATTTAGTTATTTTTGACACTGGTTTGAAAATCTGTTGCAGATGCTTAGTATAGAAAACAATTATACATATCTAAGCAGAATATCATAGTTATAATTACAATGAAAACACCCATGACGGACTAAAGATTACCTATGAAACAAGAATATAAAGAAGAAAAAAATCAAGTAAAGAAAAATGATTATTTTCACAAAAATATTTAAAATTTAGTTATTTCTCAAATGGTATTAAATTACTCATAACTGGTTCTGCAGATCATACCTTCTCAACTAACAGCTGTAAATCAATTGGAAATACTCATCCAAATAAGATAATGTAGAAAGTATTTTTTCCGAAGTATTTACTAGAGTCACAAAATAACTAATGCTAGTATTTTATATAACTAGGCATTTTTAATGGAAATCAAGGAAAAGAAAGCGAGTATTTCGTATTTTGTGTTAGTCTATATCATTTGAGGAATTTCACAATTTCTTCTCTGTATTGGAATGGTAGGGCTTGTAAAAAAATATCTTTCCCATAATTCATCCAATTTGAAACTTCCTAAAAATTACAATAATTTTCTGAAGCTTAAGATACCTCTAAAATTACCCCCTTCAAGTGAAAAAACCTCTTAAGATATGGGTAGAGGAAGATAGATTAGAAGAAAATATATCACTTAATTTAAATAAAAAAATTGACTCTCTAAGTACAAAGTACAGCATTAAGACGATCTTACCGGAATATTTTCACACCAACAAAATTTAACATATCTTGGCTTTTGACAAAAGCATCTGAGAACCCAAAGGTCAGTTAATCTCCCATACACAAAATTCTTCCAACTAAAACTTCTTCCTCACTGAAACTTGTATCAAAAATCTATTTCTTCCTTGTCATTGATTGTATATATCTCCCCAGGCAAATCAAACCCTGCTACTCTCACCTACCTCAAATCTCAATCTTCACAGCCACTCCATTCCATATTCCCTGATGACAATTCTCCCTAACATCCACAGGACCTAATAAACAAACTTCTTATTCATATTCATATCTCCATCTGCTCTCAAATATTCTTTCTTCTCTGTCTTCAATTAAATCTCAAATTCTTTTAAAAGTATTGTTTCCTTAAAAGTGCTTTCTAAAAAAGGATGCTATACTTCCTGGTCTCCCAGAGTCATGGGGAAGGGATTCCATTTACAAATTATTCTTATCTGACTAATGTTTTCACTTTCCTCCTTTTAACAAATTAACCATATAAAATATCACTCTATTTTGGGCACCATTTCCAATGTCCTCCCTCTGACGGTCTCTCGCTTTCCTGGCTGGTGACTGTACTTTGCACCTCATTCCCTGCTCTCATTAGCTGAGTATCTGCAATGACCTCATTACGGTGAACTGGTCATCTAGTAAGATCCTGAATTTCTGAAACTTGTCATTCTGATCATAACTTTTTGCATTCTCCTCTCAAGTTCTCATTCTGCTGAACCCACTCTTTAATATTTCCAATACCGCAATGATTTCTCTTTCCAGGAATTCATTAATCTCTTGCTTCACAAATACAAAAATCAAGCAAGCCATTCCCAAAATGCCTAAGCAGCATCCTTGACTTTCTCACCCAGTTGTCTAGTCTATCAACTTAATTCTAGATAAACCCCACTACTTTCTTTCTCTGCTTATATTCTCAAAATGACAAATAGTGGGAAAATAGTTATAAAATGGCACAGACTGTTCCCACTATAAAGGTATACTGTACAATAATGTTTTGCTCACTGCCTTGCCTCTACATCACTTAAGCACAAGAACATGTACTGAGAAATGCATGTTTAACAATTTTGTGATAGTGTGAATGTCATATAGTGTAATTACAAACCTATCAATAGATAGTATCACATACTACACTCCTGGGTTATACAGTATTGCTTATTGGGTCACTATCAGATATGTGGTCCATTGTTGACCAAAACATTAATAGACACGGGACTCTGCAGTCATTGAGCAGCACACTATAGTCACTCAAATATGTAAGATGAGTGCACTGTTATGTACCCCTTGCTAGCTTCTCACTGAATTCCTTAGGGTGATTATTGCCAAGCCTTTCAGGTTGTTCCCAGGTCTCAAATATGCTTGCCTCCTTCCCAAATGGTCAAATCCTCTATTTAGAAAACCAAGGTCTTCTAATGTGAGTTAACTCAACTGCCCTTTATTTTTATTCCATCTTATCCATCTGACCTAATGTGTTAAAAGGAAAATTTGACTAATTTTATATTCTTCGAACTTTACTACCTACCTACTATGCACTCTGTTAGAACTCTGGCACACACACTCACCTTTCCCAAGTTCCATGTTTCTCATCCTATTGTCATATTCTTCCAACCAAAAAAAAAAAAAAAAAAAAAAACCCAAACCTGAGATTTATAATCATGATATAAGTCAACTGTCAATCTGTGTTTTCTCATGACAATCAGCTTATTTTATAAGGGGGCTAAAAATCTGCTTTCTTAGAAAGCAAAGATAAATTTTGAAAATGGACTGCCTTAAATTTAGGAGAATTAAATTCCAACTCTTTTTTTTTTTTAATAGAGGCATGTTTTATTTATTTATTTATTTGTTTGTTTGTTTGTTTGTTTATACACGCACTGGGTACAGTCAGAAGCGCTGGAGGGCGAGAGAACTCACCAGAGCCAGAGTGGGGAGCAGAGCAGGCAGAAGGACCGAAGTACACTGCTGAGGGGAGCAGCGGGCGGCAGGAGAGGTATGCGCGCCATGTGGGACCCTCCTCCGGTGGGTGGCTGGGGAGCAGCCGGGGATCGAACCGGCGCTACAGAGGCCGCGGGCAGCTTCGCAACCCAGCACTCAACCGCTGCGCCACTGGGGAGGCCCTAAACTCCGACTCTTAAGTTTAAAAAAAATTTCTCAAACTTTTAACAAAAAGTCTTCTAATTTTTATGCTTCAGTCATTTAAGTTCCAAAATGCCCTTGGTAAATAACTACTTAACTTCCCTTAATGAACTGACATTGACTGTTTTCAGCTGATCAGAGAATATCTTTATATAATCAGCATTTGACAATGCACTGCTCATGGAAACTAATCTTTAAAGTAATTTTAGATAGCTAAAAAGAAAAAAAAAAAACAAAAATAAAATTCCAGTCAATAGTCAAGTTCAAAAAGTAGGAGAATCTGTAAATAATTAAAACAGCCAATTCAAAGATGTAAAAGATGAAGTAAGAGTAAATGGATTCAGAAAGAGAGGGTATCTTAGCTAGTTGTTATAGAACAAATTCAAACTCAAATGGGCTGAAGAAATTCTGTTAAGGCAAAAACATTTCAAAAGCTATTACATAAATTAATAATTTATGTAATTATAATTGGCTTCACTCTTTTCTAACAAAACTATGAAGGCAGATCAAAGTGACATGCCAAAAAGCAGTACAAACAGGACAGCAAATCCAGACCGTGTGTTTGCTAAATAGAGCAGGCCCTAAACCACGAAATGGGATTTTGATAGCATCTCCATCATAGTATTCTTCGACTGTAATATAAAGGACAATATATTAAGATGTCAAATTAATTACCTGTTTAGAAACTAGTTTTTGCAGCTCTGAAACAGCTCCTTTCCTGCTTCACACTTCAAAGCTGTTGCCTGCTTATAATTAAAAGAGATCACTTTAGTAAGTTCTTTTACTTACACTACTAAATACAGAATACTATATTTACCACCTTTTTTTTTTTTTATAGAGGCATGCTTTATTTATTTGTTTGCTGGTTTGTTTGTTTGTTTTGTTTATACATGCACTGGGTACAGTCAGAAGCGCGGGAGGGCGAGAGAATTCACCAGAGCCAGAGCGGGGAGCAGAGCAGGCAGAAGGACCGAAGCACACTGCTGAGGGGAGCAGCGGGCGGCAGGAGAGGTCTGCGCGCCATGTGGGACCCTCCTCTGGTGGCCGGGGAGCAGCCGGGGATCGAACCGGCGCCGCAGAGGCCGCGCGCAGCTTCGCAACCCAGCGCTCAACCGCTGCGCCACCGGGGAGGCCCTATTTACCACCTTATATTTAGAAAATCAACAGAAAAAAATCCAGTTTACCAATCTTTGAAATTCAAATTACTGTAATCTTTGTGGGAAACAGTGAGATAAAAATAAATGTTCATATCCTCCAAATCTTTAAGAGCCCACCAAACAATGAACTAAATCCTTAAAATCTACTGTGGAATATCATGAAAATGGTTAACCCCCAACTATCATTTAAAGATCCAAATAAACGTTTACTCTTCTGATTGATTTGATACAAGTCATTAACTTCCTGGCACTCAAACTATTCACAAACTTTGTCTAGCTATGATGAAAAGGGGTTTATTTGAAAGCTACCTACTTCATAATAAAACAACCTTGCCATTACATAAATACGCGGTTTATCCTCAGTCAGAGTCAGTATGATGAATTTCCAGTGGCCTCACAGGGTAGGTGATAGGAAAGAAAAGGAGCAGGTGTACCCGGAGCTCTCCAACACCCACTCCAGTAACCAGAGAATACCAGAGGGCGGAGTCTGGAAGGCAGTTATGGGGCGGGGGTGGTAGGGGCGCCCAGAAAGCCCGCTTCTTGCATTACCAAAACACTCTCCGTTACCCACAGGGCACCCGACGCACACCTGAAACCGGTCAAAAAACATCTTTTTATAAAAAACCACAAGATCTGAGAAGTGGGGAGCGGGATGAAATCTGAACGACCGTCTCCCGACCGGGGCGGGCCTCATACCAAATCCCCAGTTTTTCCAAAGCAGACAACAATACCAAATAGCACTTGATATTTAATTTTCTCCAATCCTAGGCTCGTTCCAACTGGAACTGCAGTAAGGGAGACAGAAGGGGGGCACTGACAAGGGGGAAGGAAAAGCTGTTAAATCAACATTCCCTCCCAAGTATAAGCCCCTTATATTAGCCACCGTCAGGAACGCCTCCCAGCCCTTCTGCTCCAAGAATACTCGAGACAGCAGAAACCCCGGGGCTCACAGCCCACCCGAGGCTGCTCACAGCCTCAGTCGCACCTGAGTCGCATCCACCCAATTTCTGGACCTGGATTGCTGCAGAGAAAGCGAACTGGAAGCCGGGGTGGCGTGGAGACGACGGCCGCCGAGGCCTCCGGCTGGGAGACTCTGACCACCTACCTCGGGCAAGCAAACCACAGGCCCCGCGTGCTCCCCCCACTGACAAGGGGCTTTCGCGGGGCAGGACGGCCTCCTCCCTCGGCCAGAACGAGAGGGGCGGGGAGGCGAGCAGGGGCTTCTGCAGACCCGTTCCCAGCCGCTCACCCGGGAGACAGTCGCCCCGTCCGGGAGAGGGGCGGACGGCGAGCCTGGAGACCGCCAAGAAGGAGCAGGGAGACCCGGGGGCCCAGAGGGAGGCGTGGGCCCGAGACCGGAGCCCATAGGCTCAAACGTCCCACGGCCGTTGCTCTCCCGCCCCGGCGCCGCGCTGCCAGCGTTGCCAAGGGCTGGAGACGCGCAGGTATTACCTGTGAACGACGCGGCCGCGCCCGCCCAGGCCGTGTGGCCACAGCCCCCGAGACCCGCCACCGGCGCGGGCCTCCCCTGGGGACCGCAGCAGGGAGAGTCCACAAGTTCCCTGGCTGCCTGGGCCCAATGGCCGCCTTTTCTACCTCAGTTACTCGGCGCCAACCGCCGCAGCCACCGCCATCTTAGGATCTCATTGTGGTGGGAGAGGAGGGGCGGGGGGACTGCAGAGGGGGCAACGCGCGGCGAGACATGCGCCGTCTCCTCGGCAACGACCGCGCGAGGGCGAGAAGTCGCCCTGGCGGGAGCCGCAGTACGATCAGAGCGCTAGTGGGGTCATGTGACCCGCCGGGGCTTGTGGTGTCACCTCTGCCTCTTTAGGCAGACGCCTACTACGCGAACGAACAGAGACTACAACTCCCAGAATGCCAGCTCGACCGCGGATGACAAACGCGATCTCGCCTTGGGGGCGGGGCAAAGAACTACAAATCCCAGCATGCTGTTCGCTTCCCGGCGAACGTCGAACTTGGGACTCAAGGCCTACACGGAAGTGGTGCCACCGCCCACTCCCTACTTCCTTTCCCTTCCCTCCCCTCCCCTCCTCTCCCCTCCCCCTTCTTTCCCTCCCCCCCCTGGGCAGCTGGATAAAGAAGTGAGGCTTCATGAGGTTTTTCCGTGGGGGTGTCTGCTCCAGAGGGTGCCAGAAAAAGGGAAAAAGACCAGAAACCAGATCTCTTTTTTGTGCTCTGTCCACCCACATAATGGTCACAAGGGGAATGGAAACTAAAGGACTTTTACAATCTAGTCCAACCCCATAATTTTACACGTGAGGCGCTAACTCCTCAGGAGGAGTTAATTCGGCAAAAGTTATACAGCCAGCCTGTGGGAAAACCGTAAAAGTTATTAAGACCCCCGTTAGATGATTTTCATCAGACTTTAATATTGTATTGAAACTAATCTGAATTATCTTCGTATTTACTTCTCCCAGCAGCAACAGCAGGAGCAGCTCTATGGAGGTTAGTGAATCAACAGGTTGTAAAACCCCAAATTGCTACCTATCATCGTCACCTTTTTGTTTTGTACTTATTATTTTTAAGTAGGTAGGAACTTGTCACTGAAAGATTCAAATAAATCCGAAAGTGTTACTGAGATCATAGTAACTGCTGGTCATGCTTTTTTTTAATTCGTGGACCCTAGAAAGTATTAATACTATTATGTTTGATGATGGGCATAGGCTGAGAAAGCTGTACATTATAAGGGGTGGGGGCACATACTCTTTTACACTGTTGGTTGGAATGTAGACTGATTCACCCCCTTTGGAAAACAGAATGGAGGTTTCTCAAAATATTAAAAATCAACCTGCCATGTAATCCACCTATTCCATTCCTTCATATCTACTGAAGAATACAAAAACACTAATTTGAAGGTATATATACACTTTATATTCATTGCAGCACTATTTACAGTAGCCAAATTATGGAAACAACCTAAGTACCCAAAGACAGATGAATAAATAAAAAGTGTGATATAAATATGTATAACGGCATGTTCCTCAACTTAAAAAAAAAGCTGAATTCTTGCCATTTGCAAATAGATGATTTTTAAGTAGGGGATTATGGAAGGAGATAAAACTAGGAGATAAGGGGATAAGGGGAGTAAGGAAGGAGATAAAACTAAAACAAAACAAAATCTAGATATCTGACCATAGAACTGAGACTACCAAAAAGTGAGGGTGGGAGTGGAAAGCAAAAGTGTTAGGGGAACCCCATGGACCGAGGTGAAGGATTGATTATTGGTGCTTTGGTGATGTATGCTTTGTGATAACCTCTCTGATCTGAAGCGTTGTGAACCTATAACTAAATCATGTACAGCATCGTACCAACGTTATCACAATTTAAAAAAGATACAAATTTTTTTTGAAAGATTTATTTATTTATGCATACAAGAGCTGGGGTATAGACCAGAGATGGGGGCGGGGGGAGTAAGAAGATTCACCAGAGACAGAGTGGGGAACAGAACAGGCAGACTGACTGAAACACACTGCTGAGGGGAGTAGTGGGAGAGACAGGAAAGGTCTGCTGTGCCATATGGGTTGTTCCCTGGCGGGCCGGGGATCGAACTTGTGCTGCAGAGGCTGTGGATTGATTCTTAGTGTGGTGCTTACCCCCTTGCACCACAAGGGCGGCCCCAACTTTTTTTTTTTTTTTTAAGGGAGTTCTTAACTCAATATGAGCATTACCAATCTTAGCAGGGGATGGAGGAAAAGAGAAAAACTACAATTTATCCCAGCTTTTACATCTAATTTAGAAAGCAAAGTTTTTGCAAATAAATCTGTATCAGTACTGTATGAATTTAGCTAATAAGTAATATAAACAGTAAATACTTTCAGAGAAAATAATAGTGATATTACCTCAAAGGTAATGATAACTCATGGATTTCTATGTAGGATGAAATTAGGGGCAAAGATATGGCAAAAATGTAAATGGAGAGCAGAAAAGAGTGACCTCTACAAATTACATGTCAAAACTATATCTCAGTTTTTCAAGTTTAAGACAATATAACACATGTATTAGTGATGAAAGAGAGAGGTCTAAATGGAAGAGTGATGTTTAAGGAAAAGGAAATCAGTTCAAACACATGCAGATGATACATGCAGAATAAGCAGTGGATAATACAGAATCCAGAATGGGTGAAATAGAGAAGTCATAGGGGTTGGGAGGTGGATGACAAAACAGAAGAAGCAAGCAAGATTAATGAACAGGTTGGGGCTAACCCAGAGTTTATCCTCTGTTCTATATGTGAAAACAATTGGAGTTTTGGAAGAGGCAGTAATATAATGAAGTAGCTATTTTAATATTTTATTCTTCGTAATGTATTCTTTGATAATGTTTAGCACAGACTAGGGAGAGAAAAGGCGGGCAAGACAAAGGAGAAGATGTAAGTGGCAAGAAGTAATTAAGATCTGGCCAACGGAATTGATTTCAATTTGAAATTTTTTATTTATGTAACATGGATTTCTAACATTATAGGGGTTTCATGTGTATGTTATAAATCATCATCTATATATGCTACATTATGTTCATCACCAAAAGTCTAGTTTGCATCCTTCATCATACAACTGACTATTAACCCAATTTGCACACTACCACCCCCTTTACTTCTGGTAACCACTATTTTGTTCTTACAATTTAAGAGTTTGTTTTTATTTTGTTTGTTAATTAGTTTGTTTCTTTATCTTCCATAAATGAGTGAAATTACATTGTCTTCATCTGATTTATTTCACTTAGCATAATTTTGATGATGATACACTAAATCACTGACAGAGGCACTGACAGTGTAACATTTTGTGTACATTATGTTGTTTATCTCTTTAATTTAGTCTGTATGTTATTTTTTCCACGAGTGGATTATAAGTATAAGTAAAGGAGAAACTCTGCTTTCCATACTTTTTATCCAGAATGCCTTGCAGAGTTCATTTAAGTGGTGAAAAAGCAGTTTTCTGCAATACCTAGTCTTAGCCTGCAGGTGGCAATAGACCCTAAAGAAAAATTCTTCAGACTCAACTGAATTTTAGATTGTTTTTGTTACGTGGTTGTTATACATCCAAGAAAATATATGAAATACATGTAAATTATAAAGTAAAATAACAAAATGAATACTAAGAGCTCACTACCTAACCTAAAAAATGGAATATAAGCAATACATTTAGGTACCTCCCCCATACTTTTTTCCAAATTTAATCCCTTCTTTGCAGACACAAATGCTACCCTCAATTTGGTATTATCATTACACTTTGTTTTCCTTTTATGGCTATAACATAGAGTTTTGTTTTGTCTGCTTTTAAGCTTTATAAAAATAGTATACTAGATTATTATTGCTTGACTAACTTTTTCATTCAACATTATGTTTCTGAGATTTGTCTATGTTGATGAGTGGAAACAAGAGTCTATTGAGAGAACAATGCAAAATTAATTTGGGCATATTCCTATAACTGAATATAACTGATTTTAATGCTTATTCTTCAAGTTAACTTTGCTGATAACTGGATGGAAGAAAGAGATCAGCCATGTTAAATAAGAGACTAGTTGGAAATCTCTTACCTAGTTCTTGCTGATTCTCTTGATAAAATTTAAGTGCTATTGTTTCTCTTCCTTAATCTAGCCCAGAGTTTCTAAATCTTCACATGATTGATGTTTGGGGCTGTATGTGTCTTTGTTGAGTGAAGCTGTTCTGTACATTGCAGGATGTTTAGCAGCAGCTCTGGGCTTTACCCACTAGATTCTTATAGCACCTGCCTCCCTAGTTATGACAACCCAAAATGTCTCCTGACATTATTCAATATCCTTAGAGGGGAGTGGGAAGCAAGCAATTGATAAACACTGATCTAGTCCCTATTATGATTTTTCTGATTCCTCTTTTGCTTAAAAAGCTGAACTTGTAGATAATTAAACCCACTAATTAGTGTGTGTGATTATATGGACTAATAATATCAAACCCACATGTATAAGTAATGTTTCAAGGCTCTTCTTACTTTTCTTTTCCCCCATATCCAATTTCTGTGGTGTCTCTCATTACTACCTAGTTCAAACTTTCTATTACCATGAATAGATTCCAAAATACCTGGTTGCTGCTCTCAACCTACAATAGTTATGTTCACACACTAGTCTGAACTGCCCTTTCCTTCATCGTCAATTTAGGTCCTTCCCTTCTTTAAATGTAGCCCTTGTAATTCTGATGAATTTCATATTTTTGTTTTAACAGCATGGCTTTACTTCAATAGAGTTGTAATTACTATGTACTTCTTCCTATATTTTCCTGGCTATATTCTTTTATGTCTATGTTTTTATTGCATCTTCTCTCTTCATTGAAAACCTGGGAACTACAATCGAGTGGTCTGTATGGAATGCTTGCTTTCCAGGACATATATCAGCTTGAATATAAACAAAGGAATGTAACAATAAGAACTAAAGAAAAATAATCTATAACTTTTCCCTGGCTTCCCATCATCCCTGCAGCAGAAAAGTATTCAGTATAACTAGATGTAGGTTGTTAATTAAGTAGATATTTAGGTGTGTTTCAAAACATGGAAATATGGACTGATACAGGCTTTGTTTTCTAACACATGTGAATAATATTAATGTGATGAAAATCCACAGCTTTTACTTTTAGAACCCTGTTACAGAAAATAAAATTATATGAAGTAAATATTCATGATTGTCTTGGTAATATGGGAATAATTTGGAAAGACTTTATAAAAGATGAATTCTAGGCCAGAAAAGTATCTTCTCACATAAATAAGATCTTCAGGTGACAACTAGATTCAGAATATGCATTAAATTAAGCATGGGCTAGCAAAGGAA